ATGGAAGGCAAAAGCCTGAATATAACTATAAAAACATCTGGTAATGTATAAGTACGGTTACATAGATAAAAATACATAAATAGGTAAAAATATATCAATAGACGAAACATATAAATATATAAAAATCTATAAACAGATGAGACTATATAAACAGAGAGCACTGTAAGTGTGTGTGTGCATATATACACATATACAGCCCAGGTATCTGGTGTCGTGGAAAAGGGGGCAAGTGCAGGCGGCTGTCAGGGGCTTGCAGGCTGCCGGGGGGTGATCCAGGGCTCAACCCCAGGCTCTCCCCAAGGAGAAAACACCCATCACCTAGTTCTAACACGCCTCTGTTTTTACAAGGATTTGGGTCTTTTGTCTCTCTGGTGCATCTAAAGTGGCCTTGAATGAAAGCCTGGTTGGGACTTATGCCTAAAAGTGTCAAAAAAACAAAAAAACGAAGGGAAGAGTCCGTTTTGTTTTTTAAAACAATTACACACAGCATCCCGCTGTCCAAACTCTAAGCTGATCTGAGCTAAAGGGTCTAGAAACCGGAGCGCAGAACGCTGTCCCCATGACATGATGTGTCTTCAAGCTTAATTGTGTCCTTTTTCATTCTAGACCTTTTTCCTCCCTTTTGCCTCTGTGTAATTGCTGCAGCAATTAAAGTGTCTCTGTTCAATACCAGCCAGGGCTCCGTAGGGGAGGCGGCTGCTGGCCGTCCCCCATCTCCCCAGCAGCAATGCTTTCAGATCCAGCACAAAGTACGTGCTGTGTTCATATTAAAACATTTTGCTGGAAAAAAAAATCCCATGAAAGGAGTTTTCCTTCCAAACCAAATAAACCCAGGCAACATCCAGGAGATACCCCGAGGCACCGCGTGACAACGTGAACCGTGTGAAGTTGTCTGAAGTGAGACAGCAGGCACTTTCATGGTTAGAACAAAATACATTCTTAATGTTTACGAACTGCTTCGCTGTTTTCATCAAATATTGCTGTTCTGAGGTTTATCCTACCCAAGCTGTGTTTGCACTGCCACCATTAACAATCCCTTGAAGTTCACCAAATCCAGCCAAGCGACCGGCAGAGATCAGCGCTTTGACCCAGCTGACGAGCCCGCGGCGCAGGTTTCTCCCCCAGCAAGCTCTGGGCTTTGCCTGGTGGCAGCACAGCCACTCGGATCCCCCTCCAGGCAGTTCTGTATCTGCATGGCACACTACTTTTTAAGTACAGCACTGTAGGTTTGGTTTTTTTTTTTTTCACTGAAGCATTTAAAATAAAATAATTTCTTAACACACAGCACTGCAGTCATTCGTGTAGGCTTTTGACATTCACTGCCTGTCCCCATGCCCTCCAGCAGCTCTCCCTCCCACCAGTCAGGCCACCTTCAAATCAGAACCACTTGCCGTTATTTTTTATTTTTTCCAGATTTTTTTTTTAAGCTTCCCAGGCACATCGAGAAAGGATCTACGAAAACAAAACCAGGCTGCACCTTCTCCCTTTTTAGGTAAGAGCGGCTGCCAGAATTCCAGAAGCACCCGCCCCGACCGGGATCAGACACCCACGTTTACCAAACCCCATTTCAGCACACCCAGACTGCCGACAGGCTGCTGAATTTTTAATTGCTGCATAAATTCAGATGACCCGAGAGGCCAGAAAACCATACAATGGCAAGCTTCATTGCTTGTGTTTTTTGAGGGTTCAGTTCCATTAGTTGAGAGCACACAAACCGAGCAGGGGTCCTCCATCTGCGCCTGCACCCCCTGGGAAGCTCCTGCCCAGCCCACCCCCGGCACCGACCGTCCCCAGAAGGTTGGGACATGCGTGGGCAGAGCCAGGGACCACCCCCCCGGGACACACCTTGAGCTCCGCGATGGCACAACACCAACAGGGACCTGGCGCGGGCTTCAGCTCAGTGGCATTCAGAAGCTTTCTCAGCACAGATCTTGATTATCCAGACTTGTTCCTTGGAGGCCATAAGCACTAAAACCATCTGCCACCACTCTCTTAATCAAGAATAATTAACCACCGGCGTTACTTGAGCCAAACCCTGCTATCCCACCCTTCTGATCCGCATGGTGTGACACCACTTCAGGTCCCAGGGAGGCCAGTGATCGGCTGGAGCCTCTGTTCCAGCTCCCACCACGTCCCCTCCCAAAGCCCAGCGACACCACCGCTCTTGTCAGGGACATTTTTGGTTTTTTACTCTTCAGCCTCCCCACCGTTTCCCATTTCCCCATCCCCCATGCAGCATGGCTGACTCCTCATGAGCTCCGACATTCAGCAACCTCCACTGCACCACAAAATACTCGAGGGGAGACTTCCCTTCCCCTGGTGTTTTCATGGAAACTGCTTCATGATGTTTGCTTCAGCTCATTCGCTCTGTAATGTCTCCACTTGGTGCAAAGCTGGAACGAAAGCATGTTCTGAGCAATGTGAAGGATATCTGAAATTACAAAGTTTGCTTAATATGCTTAAACTTTTCCAAAAACAAAGTCTACCTCGTAACTGGATGATGGGGACTCCCTCTAGCCACCACGCTGCTCCAGCTCCTGCTCCAAGGGCTGCAGGGTCAGCAGCGATGCTCTACCACCGCTCACCATGGAGCACTCCCCTGCCCAGCAGGCTGCTGGCGCGGGATGGAGCCGCAGGATCGCCCTTTCGCTGGCTGTTACCGTTAATGCAGAAACACCGGAGGACAGGACAATTACCGGGCAAAGCAGAGTTATCAAAGCCCCAAAACAATTGCTCCAAGACAATCGCCGCTTCACGTTCCACACGCACACTTACACAACCCCAACAGCTGCGTAACATCTGCAGGTGGCATTGAGCTTCAGCCAGGGCTCCAGCGAGTTATGAGAACACTTATACAACCTCAGGAAAGCCACGGCTGACGGATTTACTGCACTTGGATGCACGTGTAAGCCTTGCATAAGGCAGTTTTACGATGCCCTTGTGCATGGAAACCAGGTAATTACAGTTTATTAGATACCTACATTTGGTTAACGGCATAACGTTGCTCACGTAACATGAAACGTGAACTTCTGTGGATGCAGCAGCTTTACCGGAATGAAGAAGCACTAATAGACTTTTACTTGGAAGCAAGCAACGGGCCAGTTCAGTTACCACCCCGCAGGCACAGCGCAAGATGCAAGGTGGATTCCTGCTCGATGTTGCGCTCGCACAGGCTGCGCCCATCTTCCAGCTGCTTGCCAGCGATCAGCCTCTGCCGATGCGGTGAACGCGGTGGGTTTGTGCCGCAGGGTTTCAGTAGCAGCAGGGGATACATGGGTGGCTGCTGTGCGAAGCTGCTAGAAGTTTCCCCATGTCCCGTAGAGCCAATGTCAGCTGGCTCCAAGGCAGACCCACTGCCAGCCAAGGCCGAGCCCGTCAGCAACAGTGGTAGCACCTCCGTGATAACGCACGTAAGAAAGGGAAAAACCTGCTGCAGTAACAGCAGTGGAGAGAGGATCAAAATGCAAGACAAGCAACTGTGCAGACAGCGAGGTCAGTGAAGGAGGTGCACCAGGCACTGGAACATATTTCCCTGCAGTCCCTGGGGAGGCTGGCATTGTCCCTGCAGCCAAGGAGGGTCACGGGGGAGCAGACCCGCCTGCAGTCCAAGGAGCACCCAGCAGCAGAGCAGGCGGACACCCGAAGGAGGCTATGACCCCATGGGAAGCCCACACTGGAGCAAGCTCCCAACAGGAATCTGGAGAGAGGAGCCCACCCTGGAGCAGGTTTCCTGGCAGGACTTGTGACCCCGCAGGGGACCCGTGCTGGAGCAGCCTGCTTCTGAGGGACTGCACCCCACCGGACCACAGCCCCTGGGAGGGACCCCAGGCTGGAACAGGGGAAGTGTCAGGAACCCCCCCCTAAGGAGGAAGGAGCAGCAGAAACATGTCATGAATTGATCATAACCCCATTCCCAGTGCTCCCGGGGAGCTGGAGGTAGAGAAAAACCAGTAGTTAAGTTAAACCTGGGAAGAAGTGAGGGGTGGGGGTGTTTTAAAATTTGGTTTTATTGCTCATTACCCTTCTCTGATTTGATTGGTGTTAAATTAATTTTTCCCCAAGTCTGTTTTGCCCATGACAGTAATCACCAAATGATCTCCCCATCCTGGTCTTCGCTCACAAGCGTTTTGTTTTCTCTCCCCTGTTCACCAGCTGAAGAGGGGAGTGACAGCCCAGCTTTGGTGGGCACCCAGCATCCAGGCAGGGTCAACCCCCCCACAAGTTGGTATAAATGGTTGTTCACACAACTTGCGACACAAAATTTTGTGGATGCAACAGCTTTATTGGAATGAACAAGTGCAGAGAAACTTTCACTTGGAAGCAAACAACAACTGGCCAGTTCAGTTACCACCCCTCAGGCGCAGCACTAAGTGGAGGGTGGACTCCTTCTGGATGTTGTAGTCAGACAGGGTGCGCCCATCTTCCAGCTGCTTGCCAGCGAAGATGAGCCTCTGCTGATCTGGAGGAATGCCTTCCTTGTCCTGGATCTTAGCCTTGACATTCTCAATGGTGTCACTGGGCTCAACTTCCAGGGTGATTGTCTTGCCGGTCAGGGTCTTCACAAAGATCTGCATGCCCCCTCTGAGACGCAGCACCAAGTGCAGGGTGGATTCCTTCTGGATGTTGTAGTCAGACAAGGTGCGCCCGTCTTCCAGCTGCTTGCCAGCAAAGATCAGCCTCTGCTGGTCAGGGGGAATGCCTTCCTTGTCCTGGATCTTGGCCTTGACGTTCTCAATGGTGTCACTGGGCTCCACCTCCAGGGTGATGGTCTTGCCAGTTAGGGTCTTCACAAAGATCTGCATGCCCCCTCTGAGACGCAGCACCAAGTGCAGGGTGGATTCCTTCTGGATGTTGTAGTCAGACAGGGTGCGCCCATCTTCCAGCTGCTTGCCAGCGAAGATGAGCCTCTGCTGATCTGGAGGAATGCCTTCCTTGTCCTGGATCTTAGCCTTGACATTCTCAATGGTGTCACTGGGCTCCACCTCCAGGGTGATGGTCTTGCCAGTCAGGGTCTTCACGAAGATCTGCATTTTGCTCTGGAAGAAGGAAAACCACCGCAGTCACTTTTCCCCGTCGCTCCCCCGGGAGGCCGCAGCCAGGCCCAGCAGCGCACCGCGGGGCTGCGTGCCGAGTGACGTCACAGCGGATGTACCGCCCACGGCCCGAGGGGCGGGGCCACCCCCCC